ATATTCATGCAACAGGGAAAGGGAGATGCAGTGGAATACAGAAATCTGCAAACTATCTCTGTGAGAAGGGCACTGTACTATAATAAGTGTGGGAATAAGAGAGCTGAAAGGCTCCATAGAAGACTATGATCAGAGAACAGGATATAGAACTTTAAGAACATGTTTCTAATGTGAAAAACTTGAGGAAATAACAAACTACCAAATGAATGTTAAAACACAGTGGAAGTGAAGATCATAAGAGGTGAAGAGCCAAGTAATTGGAAGTCATGGATCTCAATAGAATTGCTTTGAATGTTAACTCCTCCACTGAATGAATGTTTTTTAAGAATTTAAAATTTTGCCCTTGAAAAAACTGTCATGTGTGTTCCACACAGCTCAATATGATCAGATGATATATGCTTAGGTATTGAATGAATATAGTTAAATTGAAAAAATCAAAGTTCAAGCATTAAAATCATGTAGAAGAAAAGTATTCTCAAGATGAAAGGAGGATTTAAGTGAAAGGCTCCAATTTGTTTAGTAATTACATGGTTTAAGATTCTGATAAAGAATTAAATTTCAAATTTAACTGAAGATTGGCAGCCAAAATCCAGGCAAATATTTTCCAGATTTACTTTATTTACAAAACAAATAGCCAGCAGAGCCTTTGAAACCTTGATTATAGCCAAGTACAACTTATTTTACCTAAGACATGGGTTTTTAATTTTGGGGCACTTTGTTATTTAGAAGAACTCTAAGATTACTCTTTCAATAAAGAAAAACAGAAATTTCATTTGTTTTACATATGAAGACAACTTGCTTTTTAAATAGATATACAATGGTTGTTTTCTAGAATATTATTTGTCTATTACCTATTTTCTGCATTTGTCTTTATTTCTCATTTCTCCTATCCAGCCTAATATTGGGGAAAAAACAAAATTTTCCCTCACATAATTTCTCCACTAAGAAATATTAACTGCCAGAAGTAAAAGTCCTAAATCTCCAGGCTATGAGACTAAATTATGCTTAAGCCCTATCTGCCCACAACATTTCTATTCAACTATCCTTATCAAGACTTCTGAGACTCTGACCTGGAGTTCTGTAAGAATCAAGAGGACAAATGTATGATACAGCTGTTGTCAGTTTACCTCTGAACAATGCCATATCCCTATATAAAGGTGTTTCTCCTTACCACACACCATAACTATCGTTGTAAAATGTGAGGGGGAAACGGTGGTGGTAGTGGGGAATTATGCAAATAATTGCAGCATCTGGCACTAAAATAGTTGAATCTTAAAAGCCATCAATCATGTATAATTCTTGCATCTTAAGTGTCCTAGCTAGATCAATTCTCTCTTGTTTTCCCTCTGACCAGGGATTATTCCAAAAATTTGGAAAAGTCTGTGGGCCAAGACAGATCAAAGCCAATGGATCTAATTCATTTATGCATACATTAGTATTTATTTTTCTAAGTATTTGAGAATGCTGCAGTGAGCAAAACAGAATCTCTGCTCTGGGAAGAACATATTTTAAAAATAGAACCTAGGATACTTGCTTCTTTAAAATCATTACTCAACTGAGCTGATGGGGTAGCTCAGTAGTAGAATAATTAATTGCCTAGTACCCATGAGAACCTAGGTGCCATCCCCAGCACCTCAAAATACAAAACAAACAACTAGGGGATCATTTATTATTATAATATATAGCATGAGTATTTGCTTTTTTAAAAATCCCTCTTAATAACATCTCAGGTTAACAGCCTTTTTTTTTTTTTTTAAACCAAAAACACTTACATGACTGCAGATTTTTGTGTTTTGTTATGAGGAAAAAAAAACATAGATAGTTAGGCTAAAGGGATTTGTTTTGTAAAACTTCCAGGCCCTCTTAACAGGGACAATTTAGGCTCATCCAAGATGTGTATGTTTTACTACTCAGCCAACACTGCTTTCTAAACAAAGTAAAATCTATGAAATGAGACCTATGATTCTTCTAGAAACTTCATGGGGTTTGGATATAGGAAGGTAGCTCTGGCCCCGAAAGCAAAGGATGAAGTAAATGAATCTGCATAACAAACTGTTTGGGTTTTGGTGGGGGCAATCAGAAAGGAGAGAAGGATAAGAGAACAGAGCAAAACAGATTATAAAAGCCTAGACTTCTCCTTTGATAGTAGCCAAAACACATTTTGAGGCTAGAGATGCCTGATGTTCAATGTCAACACTACTGCCATTGCTACACTATAAACTCCAACACCCCTTCTCCCAAAATCTCACCGTCTTTCCCCAAATCTTTCAAAAAGCTCCACCACTTCACACAGTCCCACAAAGGCTTTATGGAAATTCTTTTTCCTTTTCTATTCTTTCCTAGCTCCTCTCAGATACATGCATCCAACAACTGTATAACAGACATCTCAACCATCTGTTTAGCACCTCATTGGGTGGGTTCCAAGCCAGAATTTATTTACCTTCCCTTCCTTACTTTGCCTTCAATTGTTTTTAACCATCCTTCTCACAGCCTCCAACATTCCACCAGCTCACTAATGCCATCATCACTAAAGGAACAACTAATATTTATTGAGCAGTTGGAATGTACCAAGTATTGTGCCAAGGTTATTACGTGCATAATTTCACTTGATCCTCAAACCCTACTAAACAGGTACTATGATCATTTCCTAAATGTTAGGAAGTCAAAACTCAGCCTGGATAGTAATTTCTAAGGGTAAATGATGAAATTAAAATTTGACCTCTGTTCTAACTCCACAGCCAGCTAAACCAGAATATGCCTGTGCCCTAAGGCAAAAAACCTAGGAATCATCTTTTTCTCATTAATCCTATCTAGTCACTTAGAGTCTAGTCTCCTAAATGCAACATTATCTCTTTTTATCAATGCCTTCTCATGGAATGAGAACCAAGTCCTTACTACCTACCAAGTACTATTAAGTAATACATATTTTTCCCCAACTTTCACTCCCCAAACCCTAAGAGAAGAAGAACCTAAGGAATGAAGAAGTTAACTGGAGAGTAACAGAGCCTGATTCAAATCTGGATCATCTGAATTGAAAAATTTGAGCACTTAACACCTACATTGTGACAATCTCCTTTGTCTTTACCTCCCATCTGGACCCCCATCATCCTTCAGACTGCTACAGATATCTTTTTGGAATGCAAATGTTGTCATGACATTCTCCTGCTTAAAACTGGCAGCTCTATATCACTGACCAGATAAAGTCCAAATTTCTTAATATGGTACACAAAACCTTTCAGTTTTCTGCTCAGGACAGCTTAATAAATAAATATTTGAGTGCCTAGTGCAGGCAAGGCAAAGTGCTAAGTGCTTTGAAATGAATAACACAACAGCCCCTGAATCCTACTTCAACCACAAACATTGTATTCTCCAGCTGGACTACTCATATGCAGATCTCATAATCCAACATGCCAAAGATATGTGTGTTTAGAATATATATGGCAAAGTCCAACACCAATTTTGAAAAGTGCCTATGTGAGTCCTCTCTAACAAACTCCAGGAAAAAAGATTCTTAAGTTGCCACAGCACTTTATTCAAATTACTGTGAGGTAATTAATTAGTAGAACAAAGGTATGGATCAGCTTCCATAAGAGACTGAGCAACTCTGAGTAAGAACTGAYCTCTGCCATTAATGCCTGGCATGCATTAGGCACTTTATGACTAGCTAAATGAATAAACAATGAAAATTTCAAATTTAATGAAAAGAGCAGAAGAACAAGGCACAAATTAAGAAGTTAACACACAAGTACGCTGAATTAAAAGCAATGTTATTCTACTGTGGTTCGAACTTGGCCTACATTTTACCCCTATGGGAAAACTCGCACATGTGGTTCTTGAACAAGCTTAAAAGGCACAACTTTGTTATTCCTGGCTCAACAAAGCTTTGACAGGCCAAACAGGATACTAGATCCCTCCCCTCTTCTTTCTTTACCTGCCAAAGTCCTTTTTCCAGAGGGGTATGGGGGTGGAAATCAAATTTATCAAAGTAGATAGAATTGATCTCAGATCCAACTTCATCAGTGTTGTTCACAATACATGCAAGAGAAAAATCAAAATCTGTCTTGACAACAGGGCCAATTTCCAAGTAAGTACTGTTGCTACAAGAATGCGAAATTCTTAAAGTGAAGGCAATTAATAAACCAGAGCTTACAAATGTTTCTCCTGCACTGCCACAGCTTTTCACCCACCTTCGTTTTTTCATTTCTGTGATTTTAAAAAGAAAAATCTATACGATGAAGCCCATGCACGAGTGTACTTTAGTATCTGCCAGATACAAATATCTGGATCCACAACCTTTAATGTAAACTGAAATACTACAAGAAACACTATATAAGTCAAAACTTATCTAAAACGTGGCATAAAGCTTTGAAAAGCTAGTGGGGGGTGTTTCCTAAGMGATGCTTTGTATGAACTGCTTCCAAATCAAGATCCGTATTTTCAAATTACCCCCTGGAAGATGTCAAATCTGTCTTCTATTCTCTCCAGCCTAAAGGGAAAGGTGACAATTCACAGGCAACAGGCTGGGGCGAGAGAATGATCTCTCCCCATACCCTCACACAAGAACAAAATCCAAMGGAAGGGTGGCTAATGCCACTCATTCTCAACAATGCATACACACACAAAATTTTTAAAACTCATCCACTCCTCCACCCTTCCTTAAAAAGCAAACGACGCAAAGATCTGCACCACGGTGGCCGCAACCACCAAATGCTAACAGCTGGGGGCCGCCCGCCTTCCACGCGCCTGCCCCGCGGCGATACCAGGCACAGGGCACCATCTCTGCCAGCCCCGCTCCCGCTCCCGGCTCCACGCTGTCCCCGCAGCCCGAGTTAGCGAGGGAAGCGGCGGAGGTCGGCGGCTCCGGGGCGGGCCGCGGAGCCGATCCGGCCGCCTCCCGGGGCGCGGCGCCGCCCCACACCCCGCCGACGCCCGCACCTGAGGCGGCAGCCCGGAGCCGGCGAGAGGACGCGGAGCGAGGCAGGCAGGGCAAAGTTACTCACTGGGAAAGCGCGGCTGCCTGGGGCTTACACCGGCTTCCAGCGCCGTAGCCCAGCGCCAGCTCCCGCTCTCCGCGGCCCGCTGAGGGAGAGYCAGGAGCCAGCTGGGTTCCTCTCTGCCGGGACTCGCCGCTGCCGCCGCGGATTTCCTGGCAAGAAGAAAACTCTGGCCAAGACTTCACTTCTCAACCGCCCCTGCTGCCTTCCCGGGGGCAAGCGCCAGGGCCGAGCACCCCAACCCGACACGCACCTGGGCCAATCAGTCGCGGCGCGGGGCGGGAGTGGGCGGGCCAGAGAGTAGTTCCACCTATCCTAGAGCTCAGGGGCGGGTTAGAACGGGCCGTCACTCCCAGGTTAGAGTGAACCCACTCCGCCTCTCGTCGCCCGCCCTCCCCCACCCGCTCTGGGCTGTCCCCGCCGCTCGCCTGATTCCCCTGCAGAAGACGCTGGAGAAATATCTGCGCGCACCCCCGACCGCGGCTAGAAGAGTCGAACAGCTGGGGAGGGAGGGAACGTCTAGGGGAGTAGGGGGTGGGGCGGGGTGGAAAACAAGTGTTGCAAGAAAGCAGAAATGTAGGTGTGTTGGGCGAGAGGACAGCTGGGGGATTGGCTGGGGTCTGGAGGGTGCAGGGGAGTGAGAAGGACTGATCTGCGAGGAAGAGCACCTGAAGGAATAGAGAGAGGAGATACCAAATAAGAAGGGTGGAGAGTATGTCTGGTGGTGAAAGGCGGGGGCTGGGGCACCTGGGAACAAAGGTGAGCGGGAGGTTCCGCCAGTGAGGAGGTTTAAACAGCCCAAAGGGTGAAAGAAAAGGGAAGGTAGTAGCGGGGAAGGACGTACTCCAAAGGCAGAGTGGATCCTAGGGGAGAAGGTGGATCCTAGACGAGGAGTTTCCTCACTCGTCCTCAAGAAAAAAAGGCAAACGCTTGTTCTTTGATCTAGTTGAAATGTGCAGCTGTAAAGAAACCCGGTGAGATAAATACCGTCCTACACCGTAGTATTGTTATTAAATTCATCTCTACGCAAATTAGCCCCCTCCTTTTTCTAGGCGGATTAACTATAGTCTAAGCCTGCTGTCCCACWCAAGGCCCGTGAAGACTGGGGTCCGGGAAGGGCTAGTCTAGAAGCTACACCGTCCCTCACGAGTCTAGTAGCAAGTCAGAGAGAGGCCCGACTGCCGCCCTAAGAAGGAAGGTGATTTGGGACGGTAGGTGAGACCCGCCCCCTTTGCCACCACGTGGGTAAGGTTCCAAAGGCAGAGCTCAGATTCCCAWAGGCCTGTATGGGCCTCGGGGTGAGGCCGGTGCCCGACCCCGAGCGGGTGCCCTAACAGCGGGAGCGCCAGGTGAGCGACTCTGYCGCGCGCCTTCCTCCTTCCGAAGGCGGGGCCCTGGGGGCGGAGCCTCTACGCCACGCCCAGTGGCTGGGTGCCGGCGCGCCGCTGCGGCTCCTCCCCGCTCTTTGCGTCCTGGGCTCCTTCCGTCGGTCCTTTCTTCCTTCCTGCTTCKCCTCACGCTTCGCGATATGGGGCAGAGCCTCCGTTCCGCCAGCACCACCTGAGGATCCCGGAAACCGCCCCAGCGATGGAAGAGGACCAGGAGCTGGAGAGGTAACGGCCGAGGAGGCGGGCGGAGCGGGGCGGGCGGGCCTCGCTCGGCGAGGGAAGCGGGTGGCTGAGGGGCACGCGGCCCGGACCGGGCCCAGCCATCGCGGCCAGGCCTGGCGACACAACCGTATTTCCGGGCGCTGAAAAGAGGGAAAGAGAGCAGAGCGGGGTCCGTTTGGGTAGAGGGGGAAGAGATGTGGATATATTTACGTAGAAACGTCCCGTGTAGTAGCTATCAGGGAGGGACGCCCCATTGGGAGACCAAAGTTACGTCCCGAACCGCCCTCCCCTATTGGTGTAAAGTCAGCCACCGGGCCGCGGTTCCCGAGTGATCGAGCCGCCGTGTTGAGTCAGGCCTGAGTCCCAGTAACTACCGCTCACGTTCCTTTCTGTGCAGACTGCTTATAAAGACYCCCTAAATGCCGAGTTCTTTTTCTCTCTACTACTAGACCTATATTACACCTTCCACTTCCTAGTTTCCTTAACCTCTTGCTAATGGAAGCCATAGTGGAGCTTGCACATTGATAATCTGTCGTTTTTATTTTTATACTAAAGCAGTCTGTTTTTCTAGCCTTTCAGTTCCTTTTCATCTTCTGGCTGGGCCCACCCTATTTAATCCTATACCTCTCGTGGCTACCAAGACCTTTTTCTTTTTCTGTTTCTTTTTTTTTTTTTTTTTTTTTGGCATTCAGTTCCTTTTCATCTTCTGGCTGGGCCCACTCTATTTAATCCTATACCTCTCGTGGCTACCAAGACCTTTTTCTTTTTCTGTTTCTTTTTTTTTTTTTTTTTTTTTGGCAAAGCTTTAAGTTTTTGTATTTTTCTGAGAAAACTCTCCTTGTGATCAGTGTGTATAATCAGATGGAGTAGAGAGAAACTGGAGGCAGTAAGTTAAGTATTTACTGATAGAAGTGGAAGCAGGAAAACGAGAAAGTTCTATGTAATTGTAGTAGGTTAATGTGTTGCAATCGCAGTCTAGTATGGAAAAACGCTAGTCGCAAAACAGTATTCAGAATGATCTCATTTTTATAAAAAATATGTGTGTAGAAAAATATCTGGATTGAAGACCTCAATGGCTGAAGGCGAGAGGAAGACAGCCCTGGAAATGGTCCAGGCTGCTGGAACAGATAGACACTGTGTGACTTTTGTATTGCACGAGGAAGACCATACCCTAGGAAATTCTCTGCGTTACATGATCATGAAGAATCCGGAAGTGGAGTTTTGTGGTTACACTACGACCCATCCTTCTGAGAGCAAAATTAATTTGCGCATTCAGACTCGAGGTGCTCTTCCAGCTGTAGAGCCATTTCAGCGAGGTCTGAATGAGCTCATGAATGTCTGCCAACATGTGCTTGACAAGTTTGAGGCCAGCATAAAGGACTATAAGGATCAAAAAGCACGCAGAAATGAATCTACATTCTAGTCCCTTATTCAGGATACAAGGAGGACTATCCTCTAGGAAATTCTCTTCATGATTGTGCAGAATCCAGAATTAGAAGTTTGTGGTTACAGCATGCTTTATCCTTCAGGTGTGGGATACAGCTGTTGGAATCCCTACAAGAACCTGTGTATTCACCTAATAAATTCCCTCTTTTATTTAAACTAATTCGACTGGTTTCTCTTCCTTACAGCCAAATGATCCTCAAGAATGACCCACACATACCTTTCTTAATTGGATCAACAATGAAAGTGAGGAAACTATGAGAAAATCAGGGCCCTAGACAAGGATTTTGATCATAAGAATTAAAAAGAATATTCATTCCTGCCTGGTTGGGGTAGTTAGGGAAGGGTGGTGGGTGCAATAGAACATGACCCAGTAGACTAGTTGGTTTATAAAAGGAGGAAAGAAGATTGGAAAGGGAACTTGGCTTCTTACTAGATTTGTAAGTGATAAGAATTGCATTCTTTGGTTGGTAGGTTGAGTAAAAGTGGGGAATTTGAGGGAATTGTGAGGATTCTGATTTTGCATAAGAGTTTAGTTGGTATCAAGAGCCATCTTTATAGTATTTATAGGATAGATACCAATTTACTTCTTGATTTGCAGGACATTRATAAAATATTTAGTCATGACCTGAGTAAGCCAAGATATTTTGATTGTTTTATAGGATAAAACTGGGATGACCAATAGGTGTGTAAGTATAGCCCAGGGTCACATAAAAGACACACTGTTGGAATAAAAATAAGGATGATGAGAAGGAAAATTCTATGTTGGGTGGAAGTGACTTTTTTGGAAAACTTGAAATATTAATCATATCACATCTAAGAGCCATCATATCTACTTCTTCAACTTGTGTCTCATAACTGTCCTACCCAACTTGCCTCTCAATTCAYCCTACATATCTGTCAAACCTTAAACCCAAGGATTCCCTCACCCTTCAGAGCCCTGTGCTTTGGATTTTGATGCTGCTATTCTCTTATTGGAACAGTTCCACCATACTTTTAGACAAAATTTGATTATTGTCAACCTCCCCAGCCTACTTTGGGAAACTTCTGTGTGCTTTTGTTAACACTTTGTCTTTCCTAATCGTGATATCAATTTACTTGGTAAAACACTGGATGAGTCTATGTAAGTACTTATGATGGGTAACCTTTCAGTCATTCACATTGACCTCTTCTAGCCTGCCACAGAGTCTACATTTCCTATACTGAGCCCATTTCTAAAGATCTCTATATTTACTGAGTACCTGGTTTGTACAAGACCTTGAGAATAGACTAGTGGATGAGGCACAAAGGTTCCTGTTCTCATAGAGCATGCATTATAAGGACAACATTAAAGAAATAAAGTTGTATTTTTGTTAAAGAAACAAATATAGGGTCAAGATAAAAACACGAGAGTAATCTACTTTAGATACAGAAGTCAAGGAAGGTCTCCCCAGGGTTATAGGAAGAGAAGGAGTTAGCTGTGCAATGTTGAGAGAAAATGCATTCCAGAGGAATAATGTATGTAGGTCCTGAAGTAGAAAATTGGTTTGAGGAATTAAGGTATTAGAAAAAGATTTGCTCATGGGCTAGGGTTGTGACTTATTGGCAGAGCACTTGCCTAGCATGTGTGAGGCACTGGGTTTGATTCTTAGCACCACATRAAAATAAATGACCATTGATAAATTTTAAAATATTTAAAAAAAAAAAAAACAAGATCTGCACATCTGTAACATAGTAGGCAAGGAGGAGAAGGACCTSTCCTTTTGATTCAGAGGAAGGAAGAGCTAGCATGGTAAGGAGGTTGAATTTTAAGTACAGTAGGAATGCCATCTTGATTGCTTTAATTACATACAACTAGGAGAATGTATTATAGGGAAGCCAGAGAGACAAACTAAAGAAGTGAAGTGGCCTGGGAAGTGATAAGCTAAGAATGAGAAAAAGGGTGGATTTGAGATGATATTTTTTAACTGAATTGGTGGACCTCAGGAATTGGGTCTGGAAGGTGAGGAAACAGAAAGATGATTCCTGTCTATGTGGTCTAATTAATAAAATGGGGAAACTTAAGTGGGATGAAAGGTAGAAAAGTTCCACTTTGAACATTATAGGCAGCATATATGAGTTATCTAAGCTGGAGATAAACTTTGAGTCTTCACCATAAAGAGGATGTAAATCTTCA